ATGTTTATTCAGAGAAAGTACGTTTTTGTGTCTGATTTCGTAACTTAATTAATAGTTAGCACTAATTAATTAGCATATTTGAGGTCACCCCCAGGAACCATTAAGATTAACACTTAGTTCGTGAAAATCCGATCATTAGAACGAAAGTTATTCAGGGTGATATCTTTTTTTTTTTGCCGACTGTACATTGGAAATAAATAAAATTTTAAAAAAATTATTTTAGGTTTTCTTTATCTAATAACACAAAGCAACCGAGAAGGACAAATAATAAAAATAAATAAATAAATAAAAATGAAATTATTTTAGCTGTATTAATGGTGTTTGTATATGTCGTTTAGTTTTGTACATGATTCTGTAATGGTGTTCAGTATTAAATTAATGATTATTCAATTTTTTTTCAATCCGTAATAATAACGGGCATCCAGTTAGTAATGTAATAAGATCAAATTTTTCTCATCGGCAATAATATTTCGAACTCATTATTTAGATAGCATATATTATTATATTACTGTTTCAAACTCACGCGAAATTTATTCAGGAGAAAACCTGATCAATAACTTCTAAATTTCAGATATAAGATAAGATTTGAACTTATGAGGAAGTCGCAAGTAAGAAGTTTTTATTTGTCACTTCAACACGTGTATTCAACTATTATCCAACTATTATCATTTGCTTATACTCTTAATCTTACTGCTTCCTCTTACGCAAAAGAAGAAGAAAATTTTCTACAGCGCGTGTCTAGAAGGTTACTGATAACGTGTTGTTTCGACAGCGCGTGTTGCTAATAATTTATAGATGTATCAGATACGCTGCAGGAAGTCGGACACGGAATCGAACGATTGTTATAAAAAGCATACTTTTGCATGTTTCCTTCTGCTTCGACATGAAGTGTTTCATATTTACCGTTTTATTGATCACAGTGGTGATCCTTGTAACAGTACAAGGTCAAGGTGGTAGTCCTGGTTCTCCTGGAGCACCAGGTACTTCAGGATGCCCTGCTGGCCCAGGAGGGGCCGGTAGTCCAGGAGGCACTGGTGGCCCAGGAGGCACTGGTGGTCCAGGAGGCACTGGGGGCCAGGGAGGAACTGGTTTTCCAAATTGCCCTGGTGGACCAGGAGGGGCCGGTGGACCAGGAGGTGCAGGTGGTCCAAGAGGAGGTGGTGGTATAGGAGGCTATGGTGGAAGAGGAGGCCCTGGTTCTCCACCTGGAAGTTCTGGCCCTCCTGGACCACCAGGTAGTTCAGGTAGCCCTGTTGGTCCAGGAGGCTCCGAAGGTCCAATAGGAACTGCTGCTCCAGGAGGCACTGGTGGAATGATCATGCTACCCTTGTATCCAGAGTGTGCAACTTATGGTAAATTAATGCACGATATGTTTAAAGGTAAGTTATTTTAAATGAGTGTTAAAATTTTTGGAAATTTTAAATATTGGAATACTTTTAAAGTTTCAGTAAATAAAATAAGAAATAGCTTATTATGTAGCAGCTACTGATTTTTATGTAATATGGTTGGTAGAATGCAAAATATAGATCTCATCATTGTGTTGAAGCCACTGTTAATCATGTATTGAAAAAATGATAAATTGTTTTTAGAATGTAAAACAGAGAATTATACCTATGTAACGGTTGCATTTAATGTAAAGAATATTGTAATGTAAAATTAGTTAATTGTTGGCGGAATACAAAACGCAAAATACATCACGATAGTGAAATGGTTTAGTTGTTTGATCCACCTTAATTTTTATTTTAGCTATTTGGTTCTGACTAATTTTTTAAATATAATTTAATCTTATGTATTAAAATAAAACAATAATAGATTCGATTCTGAACGAATATATGATATTTTTTGAGCATTATTGTATGTTTCCAACTAAAGTTTGGCAACAATTCTGGAAATAGTAATGGCAAGGACAGTGGTTCGAGATCACGGAGTAGTTTATTTCTACCCATTCCTGTCTCATTCAAATTTAATGTCACGTACAATGCGCAAAATAAAAACTAGACCACCCTGAATAGCTTTTGATCGAATGAAGGTATTCTCACGTTCTAGAACTCTATGGTTAGAGGGGTGACCTAATTAGTGCAGACGATGTTTTGAGTTACGACATCAGCCACGAAATCGTACTTTCTCTAAATAAACATAGTTACTTTTTCTCTCGATGAATGGGTACTTGCGAACCCCAAAATATAGGGATATATGGTTAGTTTGGTCAGGAGAGTGGTCGAAAGTTTGGACCCTTTACTGATAATTTTTCTTTTTTGATTTCGCCATATCTCGAGAACTTTTTAAGAAAATTAAAAAATTTTGCACACAAATATAAAATTAATTTAACTACTGATAAGTCCAATTTTGTTTTATTAAATATACAATAAAATAATATATAATATTAAATATATAATAAAAAATTGGATTGTAAATTATGCAATTTTTGACATTATTTTAAAGAATGTATTTTTACACAGCAAATTAGAAAGTTTGAGCCCAATTAGTCAGATAGTTCCTGAAAAATCAAATTCTAAAAATACGACTTTTTCAAAATAAGATTTCTGATAAACTATTTGACCGATTTCGCTCAAATTTCGCTTTGTCCTTTAAAATAATTTTATAATCATGTAATAAACTACTAATCTTACAGTTTAATATATTATATTTAAATTAACTAATTTTATAAATTTGTGCAAAAAATTTTCAATTCGCTTAAAAATTTTTCGAGATATTGTGAAATACGCAAAAAGTAAAATTAACATAAAGGGGTTCAAACTTTGGACAGCTCTCCTGGTCAAGCTATTGGGACCCTAATTCTGAGATTACGGTTAGCCCTTACATTTTATAAGTTTGAAATCCGAATTCGTCGAAAAAATGTTACGCTTATTCAGAGAAAGTACGTTTTTGCGTCTAATTTCGTAACTTAAAATATCGTTAATTATTCAGCATATTTGAGGTCACCCCTTTGAACCATTAATATTAAATTCTAGAACGTGAAGATTCGATCATTAGATCAAATGTTAATTAGGGTGTAAGACATATGTTTATACATTTCATGACCTGTTACATTACGCTTCCTAATTCTCCCTGCACTGGATAAACAACTATGGTGGATTGAGCATCCTGCTATGATTTTACCTTCCACAATGGTGATTCACCAGGCATTAATAATGCTTTTTTACCCGCCTAAATAATACTTAAAAAAGTTTGGCTACGTATTCGACAACTTTTTATGCTCGGTATCTTTATACTCTTTGTAGTGACTTATAGAACATCAACACTATTTTAGATAATCTATGTTGGAGTCACAAGAAATAAAAAGACAATCAATGATTTATATTCTTTTTTCGAAAAAAATAGTATTCTTAGTAAATAATCAGCTGTTTTGCATTAAATAATTTTAAACAGTCGAATGTTTTTAATTTCTTAACAAGGCTTAATTCTTAGGTAGCAGACAATAATTGATTTTTATAAAAACTTGACAATAATTTAAAAAAGAACTTTACTTTAAGGAAAAACTAAATTAAAGTACTAAAAAAAATGATTAATATATTGATGAGGAAATAATAAACGTAGTAGGGTAAAGAATAAGATTTTTAAAAATGTAAAAATTTAGTTAAATAGTTGGTAAAATAGTTCTGCGAAACATTTCCGGACAGGTGATTAAAAAATTACTTTTAAGACGATATATAAGATGTTGAGAAATTTGCGATGATATGAGATATGCTTAAATATGTCTATTACGTATATCTATTAATGTTTATAAAAAATATGTTCACGAAATTGATAAATATTTTATTCCAAATCTATTCATACGTATGTATGTTATTGAAATTTCATCAGTTATTGAGAAAAAAAAACTAAAAATTTTTAAATAATCACATTAAATAAGCACAATCTCGTGTATAATCATATTCTATCAGAAGCATGCTTTTATAAAATTCGACATTCGTTGAATAAAATGTTTTTTATTCAATAAAATGCTTTATTCAAATTTCTTTACTAAATTGCGAATAGATTTTTAGACGACTAAAACATAAACATCGTATTTTATAGTTTTAAAAAAATAAAATTAAAAAGATTAGCAAACGATTAATAGCGAAAAAAATATGAATGAAATTTTACGCTACGTGCGCTTAGTCAAGTTCCTCGTAAGTTTATCACATTATAATATTAATCACCCCATTTAATTATTTCTTTATTGTCGCCAAATTATTTTTTTTAAATAATCAATTTTAATTTTCCTCATCTTCTAATAAATAAAAACAGTTGAAACTTTAGATTTTTCAATTGAAAAATATGTAGATTAATATGGCATAAAAAAATCCATATTTTGAAGATAAGGAGTCCAAATATCAAAAATATATATATATATGTTTATTCAGAGAAAGTACGTTTTTGTGTCTGATTTCGTAACTTAATTAATAGTTATCGCCAATTGATTAGGTCACCCCCAGGAACCATTAAGATTGTGATAAGAACCATTCGTGAAAATCCTATCATTAGAACGAAAGTTATTTAGGGGGATATTTTTTTTTTGCGGACTGCACATTGGAAGGAAATAAAATTATAAAAAAAATATTTTAGGTTTTTCTTTATCTAATAACGTAAAGCAACCGAAAAGGACAAATAATAATAATAAATAAAAAAATAAAAATGAAATTATTCTAGCTGTATTAATTGTATTTAAATATGTCTTTCAGTTTTGTACCTAATTTTGTAATGCTGTCCTGTATTAAATTAATGATTATTTACTTTTTTTTCAATCCGTAATAATAACGGGCATCCAGCTAGTAATGTAATAAGATCAATTTTTTTTTAATCGGCAATAATATTTCGAACTCATTATTTAGATAGCATATATTATTATATTACTGTTTCAAACTCACGCGGAATTTATTTAGGAGAAAACATGATCAATAACTTCTAAATTTCTGAAATAATATAAGAAATGAACTTATCAGGAAGTCGTAAGTAAAAAGTTTTAATCTGTCACTTCAACACGTGTATCCAACTATTATCATTTGCTTATACTCTTAATCTTACTGCTTCCTCTTACGCAAAAGAAGAAGAAAATTTTCAACAGCGCATGTCTAGAAGGTTACTGATAACGTGTTGTTTCGACAGCGCGTGTTGCTAATAATTTATAGATGTATCAGATACGCTGCAGGAAGTATACACACGGAATCGAACGATTGTTATAAAAAGCATACTTTTGTATGTTTCTTTCTGCTTCGACATGAAGTGGTTCATATTTACCGTTTTATTGATCACAGTGGTAATCCTTGTAACAGTACAAGGTCAAGGTGGTAGTCCTGGTTCTCCTGGAGCACCAGGTAATCCAGGTTGCCCTGCTGGCCCAGGAGGGGCCGGTAGTCCAGGAGGCGCTGGTGGCCCAGGAGGCACTGGTGGTTCAGGAGGCACTGGGGGCCAGGGAGGAACTGGTTTTCCTAATTGCCCTGGTGGACCAGGAGGGGCCGGTGGACCAGGAGGTGCAGGTGGTCCAAGAGGAGGTGGTGGAACAGGAGGCGGAGGTGGAGGAGGAGGCCCTGGTTCTCCACCTGGAAGTCCTGGTACTCCTGGACCACCAGGTAGTCCAGGTAGCCCTGTTGGTCCAGGAGGCTCCGGAGGTCCAATAGGAGCTGCTGCTCCAGGAGGCACTGGTGGAATGATCATGCTACCCTTGTATCCAGAGTGTGCCACTTATGGTAAATTAATGCACGATATGTTTAAAGGTAAGTTATTTTAAATGAGTGTTAAAATTATTTTTGCACTGTTTAATATTGGAACACTTTTAAAGTTTCAGTAAATAAAATGAGAAATAGCTTATTATGTAGCAGCTACTGATTTTAATGTAATATGGTTGGTAGAATGCAAAATATAGATCTCATCATTGTGTAGAAGCCACTGTTAATCATGTATTGTAAAAATGATTAATTGTTTTCAAAATGTAAAACATAGAATTATACCTATGTAACGGTTGCATTTAATGTAAAGAATTCTGTAATGTAAAATTAGTTAATTGTTGGCGGAATACAAAACGCAAAATACATCACGATAGTAAAATAGTTTAGTTGTTTGATCCACTTTAAGTTTTATTTTAGCTATTTGGTAATTTAATCTTATGTATTAAAATAAACCAATAATAGATTTGATTCTGAAATAATATCAGATATTTGTTGAACATATATTATTGTATGTTTCCAACTTAAGTTTGGCAACTATTCTGGAAATCGTAATGACAAGGACAGTTGTTCGAGCTCATAGAGTAGCTTATTTCTACACATTCCTGACTCATTCAAGTTTAATGTTATGTACAATGCTCAAAATAAAATCTGGACCACCCTGAATAGCTTTCGATTTAATGAAGGTACTTTCACGTTCTTGGACTCTATAGTTAGAAGGGTGACCTAATTAGTGCAGACGATGTTTTGAGTTACGAAATCAGGCACGAAGCAGTACTTTCTTTAAATAAATATAGTTATTTTTTTCTGAATGAATGAAGATTTTCGACCCTCAAAATATAGGGGCTACGTTAGGATATATGCTTAATTTGGTCAGAGGAGTGGGCGAAAGTTTGAACCCCTAACTGTTAATTTTCATTTTTTGATTTCGCCATATCTCGAGATCTTTTTAAGTAAATTGAAAATATTTTGTCCAAAAATATAAAATTAATTTAACCACAGATAATTCCACCCAAAAAATGAATTTCGGTAAGCCTTTTTTATTTTTTATTGTTTTACTAAAAAGCAATGGAAAAAAAATTGGATTGTAAATTATGCAATTTTTGACAATTAAATAAATTTAAATTATACAACTTTCATTTTAAAGAATGTATTTTTACACGACAAATTAGAAATTTTGAGCACAATTGGTCAAATAGTTCCTGAGAAATCAAATTCTGAAAATACAAATTTTTCAGAATAAGATTTCTGATAAACTATTTGACCGATTTCGCTCAAATTTTGCTTGGTCCCTTAAAATTAAATTTTTTTTAAAATGATGTAATAAACTACACATCTTGCAGTTTACTATATTATATTTAAATAAACGAATTTTATAAATTTGTGCGAAAATTTTTCAATTCGCTTAAAAAAATTTCTCGAGATATTGGGAAATACGCAAAAAGTAAAATTAATGTAAAGTGGTTCGAACTTTGGACCACCCTCCTGGTCAAGCAATTGGGACCCTATTTCTGAGATTTCGGACAGTCCCTTCTGGGGGGGGGGGGTCGGAATCGAATTCGTCGAGAAAAAGTTATATTTATTCAGTGAAAATACGTTTTGGTGTCTAAATTTCGTAACTTAAAATATTATTTATTATTCGACGTATTTGAGCTCAGCGCTTTGAACTATTAAGAGTAAATTCTAGAACGTGAAGATTCGATCATTAAATCAAAAGTTACTTAGGGGGGCTCGTTTTTTTGTTTTGCACGCTGTAGTGGGATAATGTAAAGCATGCGTTTATACATTTCATGACCTGTTACATTAGGCTTCCTAATTCATTCTCTCTGGACTGGGTAAATAACTATGGTGAATAGAGCATCTTGCTGCTATTTTACCTTCCACAATGCTTTTTTTTCCACCTAAATATTAGTTAGAGATAATGTGTATGTTTCTTTGACTATTTTGACAAAAAATTTTAAGTTGTATAACTTAAAATTTTTACATTTATGAGAAAATAATAAAATAAATAACCTTTCACTTAAAATTTTTGCATTTTAAGAGAAAATATTAAAACCTCTTACATTTATTTTGACATATTTATAGTATTTTTAGTAAGCCTTAAATGATATATTACATTTAAAATACAGTAGCATGAATGCATGCTATAATCGTATGCTATAAAAGTATATTTTATTTTTCAGAAATGCGGAATGATAACAGAATTGGTCCAGAGCAGTGTCAATCAGGAAATCATACAGTGAGTTATAGTTATTCAATAAACGTAATTACATTAATGAACGTAATAAATAAATCTAAGCATAATAAATAAATCTAAGCAGTTCTTATTTTAACGTTTTCTATAAACTTTATAACGTTTTCTAATAACGTTTCTTGCAATTTCAGTTGACGCTAAAGAGACTGAGAGAAAGAAAGCGTTTTTGAGGCTACCAGAATACGGTAAAATTTACCGTGATACTTGCTCTATGAGAATACCAAAAAGCTCGGTAGTTTTTACCGCAGCGTTTCGATAATGATTTCTGAAAAAATAACAATAAAATATGATTTCATAATGTATAATACATAATTCGGTAAATGTTGCAAAATATGATTATTTTATATCATGATACCTCAAAGCGTGGCAAAATAAAAAAATAAAAACATTCGATTAAATTTACTTTTTAGTTTTATATATTCTGCGAACTGTGTAGTCATAAGAATAATAATGTTAAAAACCAGAATTTTCGGTAAATCAAACCAAACGCGCGGTAAAATTACCAAATGAACGGTTTAAATACCGTATATTTTGGTTTTATTAACTAGAATTATGGTTTTTATTCATTAGAAATGTCCTTACCATACAGTAAGGTAATTTTTTCAGACATTATTTCCCCTTTTTTTGTAGTATTAATAATGTAACCAAACCGCTTGTGTTACTGCTACACTGTACAAATCAGTTATTCTACAGATAATCTTGCTGATGTGCAGATTTACTAGGATGATTTCTTAAAATATCGCAACAAAGCAGTAACAAATTGCTTGTGTTAATGCTACTGTGTAGAAATGATTTATTCTACAAATTATCTTGCTAATGTGCAAATCAACTTGAGTGATTTCTTAAAGTCCCAAAAATTCGTAAAAATGTAACACATTTGACGTTATTTATTTTCTTAATTAGAATGATTTTGTAGAATGATATACAAAATACAAAAAGTTGTTTCAATCTCAAGTGAAAAATTTAGCACGGAACCTTTGTATTAATTCACTTTTTGAAGGTTTTGAGAACATTTAACAGAGTTGTTTTATGAAATTAGTGAAAAGAATATGATTCAATAAAGTTGGATTAATAAAGAAAACCAAGCATTTTTTATATATTATCTTTTGTAATACATTATATTCTTCAGCAGAATAACCACGAACGGTCCTGTCACCGCTTTTGCGATTTGTTTGTAGATTCCGTGCGTTGTCCATTCAGAATATTTCATCATTAATTTAAAACTAAGGTTATTAAAAATTAAACTTAATATTGGCTTTCTGCTTTCAGATAAACCAAGTTGAATAATAGTTTTAAAATGTATTGGCTTACTTTCAAACTGTATTTCTCAGTATAATGAAAAGTACAAATTAGTACTTTAATTATAGTATGCCAGTATTTATTCTGCACTAAGACTTAGATTGCAGTTGATTGCATTAATTGAGTTGTATTAAACGAGAAAATAATAAGTTATCAAGTTCGTCCGAACTAGCATCATAGCTTGTCTTATATAGTGGGCAAGTGTCTACAAAAACAACCTTTTTTTAAAAATAAAAATATTATTAAATAAACAGTTTTGCAATTCCAAATATGAACAAGAATGCAGGTAAGCGTCCAAATTATTCTTAAAAAAAACACTTCATGAGTTAAAAAAATATATTAAATATGGTATTTTCATAAATTAGAAAAAAATGACCGAATAGTCCCCTTTCCCCTGTCAGGCTAATTTTAATGCGCAGAAACTCTTATAATTCGAAAAGCTGCTTTGCAAAAATGTCATTATAAAAGATTTTACATTTTGTAATTTTTTAAAAAGAAACGATAGTAAGTTAAATCATGAAATCAAATATAATTAATTAAAACAATTTTTTTAACACTTCTCTGACTGCGATTTCTAGATATACTACATAAATGAATTATAAATTCGATTTATTTTAAAATTTTTAAAATAAAGCTTTTAAATTAAAACTTCGAAAATAATTTTAATGACTATTTTCGTATCGTCTTGACCAAAGCACTTGAGCAATCAAGATCGATTCCTAAGTACGTTTAAATCCATACTGAGAAAAAAAAAGTATAGTCAAAACCACCAAAATAAGGTAAAATTTATCATATTTCTGGCTCTATCTATAGGAACACATGAAAGCATGTTAACTTTTCGGTAATGATTTCAGGTAAGATTAACAATAAAGTGTATTTTTATTTGTTTCTCCACTCATGTTCCTCTGGACTTAAATTGCAAAAAACACTTTTAGTTGCCAATGAAAAAATTGAAAATAAAATATAAGTTGTAAACGAAACAATAAAACCTGCGGTGGCCTTGATGGAGGCCAAAAGAGGTAAATCAGAGCAAGTGAGAAACTCATGTCGTTAACTAAGGAATCGACATCCTCAATAATGAAACACGATTCCAGAGCAGATTTGAGATTTGCATTAATTCAACGTGGGTATAAAAAAATTTCGTCTTTGTTTTACACATTTATTTTTATTTTATTTTTTCCTAATTATAGTTAACAACGTGACGTTTTTTTAATTTTTTTATTTTTTAACCAACTCTGGTTTGTATTCTTCATTAATGTCTGGTGGGTATTGAATATTGGTTCTTTGTAAGCATTGTAATAAATTACAGATCGAATTGCGGTAAATTACCAACACCCTGTGCTGTGCGCATCAATCGTAAAATTAATTTTACCGTAAAATTCATTTTTACAGCAAATTTCAGTACCATATATTTTACATTAATAATTAATCAACTATAGTGACTCCGTGATTTTGAAATAAATATTGCGGTAGAACTTGCAGTATATAATGTTTTTTGTTCCGTGAAAGTTTACCATAAAAAGTACCGGAACTCTGGATGACGTACCTCGTACTGTAATATGATCCCGAATTTTTCATCGTGTAGACTTTTTCCACCTTTAAATGTTTGAAGTTATTTCTTTTTCTAATAGTAGAATAAAGGTACTTTTTTGTCGTGTTCCTTAATTTTTTTTAATGTATTTATTTATTTACTTATTTATTAGATATGCATGTCTAAAGATGTGGAAAAGGTTCGCTGTGCAGTAACTGAGCCAATGCCACAAGAATGTGTGGATAAGATTATGGAGTTTGTACAAGGAAATTCATGTAACGGAACCGAAGTTTGATGAAATCGAAATTTAACTTGTAAATATAACTGTTGCCACCTTTTATGATGAAACATTAAATGTGGGTGAAATAAATGTATTCAATTATGAAGTTTTACATTTTCTTATACAAAATTTGTTTCAATAACACACATTTCATGTTTAAAACTTCGAAAACATTTATTGATTTAATGTTCATGATAAGTAGTTGAATTTCTTACTGAAAAATTAGAATTCCGATTTAAATTTTTTTTAATTATATCGCTTCGTTCTAAAGAATTTTTTTTCTAATTGAATTGTTTGAAATGACAGATGGATCAGATTATAAACAGCCATTTATACAACTGAGTAATTGATTACATTTGCTGATTTAATGCTGATTTAAATATAATTTTGTCTCGAAATAAAATGCCTATTTGATTTAATTCGGATACAAAACCACGAATATTTTGTTTAAAAAAATATATTTAACTTTATCGTTACTTTTAATGGTGCAATAAAAATTTTATATATCTGAGGATTCAAACTAGCTTCAACTATCACAAATTAATATATAGATTATGACAAAAGAATAAATTAAATATAATGTTAAACAAAACATATTTCATTTCATTGTACCTTAACAATTTTATCAGCTGTCAAAAGAATACAAAATAAATATTGTATAAATGTCAGAAAAGTGAGCTACCTTGTTTAAACCAAACCCAATGCTGACATGAAATGGTAAATGGATCATTGGTCAGAGTCCACTAGCTGTCGAGCTAACCTTGTGAGGTTTTTTCAACTTTCCTCACCATGTAAAGCAAATACAGGTTAGTTCCATTACAAAGTCTTCCACGAAGGCCAATTTTTCACAGTGCTTGATCAGGGAGTTACTTTGTCGTCGCACGCGGTTAGGGGCACTTCTCTATTATGACCTGTACTGGAGCACGCGAAGGAACAGGTCATAATAGGGTTTGGCTCTTAGTATGACGTATGACGACAACTCTGGGCATGGATTCTAATGAAATTTTAATTTTAACTTTACTATGGAATAATATCTTTGCATACGATCTGTGTATGTTGCTGAAATACTACGTTATTCATTAGTTTTGATTTTTCATCTGTAATATAAAATGTGTTTGTGATTTTCTCGCTTATAACTCTATAAGTCTGTGTTCTAGTATTCTGAAATTAGGACAGATGTGAAAAGGATTAATTATAGTTCTTGATCCAAACAATTGCTCAAAAATTTTAATTGATCGTTTGGGAGAGACGTTTAAAAAATGATATTATCCCATATCAATTAGCCATTATAAATAAAATTGCAGACGATTTTGTTTCATCAAATATTTTAAAGATAACATCTGGGTTTTTTGCTAGCTTATAGTTTTCATAAATTGTTTTTATTATTTAAAAAAAATAGTTCATAACACTTTTTTTAATGTTTAGTTGTTTTTATTCTTTATGTCTCAATTATTAGCAAGAGCGTGCTAGTATAAGTGGACTATCTCACCAAATGAGCATTCCTAAAGTAATCTGAAAATACGTGTTTATTTTTTCCTACTGTTTGAAACGTATTCCTGTAAAACAAAATTATTTTGAATTAAAGGTAACTTTAATAAAATAAATTAGTTACTGAAACGCAAAGTTTATAGAGAGATATTTTTCTTCGTTTAAAAGAAAAGAAAAAAATTTTAATACTTTTTTTTGATGCTAATGATGCTTATTTGATTTTGATAATGAGTACTAGCTGAAATAAAAAAATAAGCTATAGACTAAAATGCAAAATTAATTGAGAAATTCAATTTATTCGTCTAAGAGAAAGGTAAAAAATCGTTTTGGTCTAACTGACAATGATGATTAATTAAAGTTGGTGAAGGCAATATTAGTATCCTGATTATTGGTGCAGTTTTATTATAGATACCGTTGAAAGGAGTTTTTCATGGTCCTACGATTAAGTACCGGAAAAAACCACCAGTTTCTGGTACATTTTGGTGATTGTGAGTCTTCTTCGTTCAATAGCATTTTTATTTGAACCGACCGGACTTTAAGGGTAGTAGTACTGTGTGTGTAAGGGTCAGGGAACTGGTCTTGCATCAGAAAGGTTCTGGGTTCGAATCCTAGGCATGGCAAGGATGTTCTTTCATTCTCTATACTATCTGTCCTTCCTGTGGGTGCAACGTTGGCCCACCTAATATGGTGCCACTGAAAGAGCTAACAAATCTGCCCTGTAAATGTCTGTATTGACGAAATGTTAACACAGGTGTACAGTCCGCAAAAAAAAAACGAATCACCCTGAATAACTTTCGTTCTAATGATCGGATTTTCACGAACTAAGTGTCAATCCTAATGATTCCTGGGGGTGACCTCAAAAATGCTAATTAATTAGTGCTAACTAGTAAATATATTAAATCAGACACAAAAACGTACTTTCTCTGAATAAACATATAATTTTTTACATATTTGGAATCTAGACACATGAATTAGGGAAAATTTTAAAAAAATTGGATCGTAAATTGGGTCGCAATAAAGGTTTATATATTTGGCGATAGTCCTGAAATCCGCCAAAAAAAGTCGCCTGCGCAAATGAATATTTTAAGATAACCCATTGACAAATTCAAAAGTGGAATGCTTAATTTTACTAGGTTGCTAGGCAACCATGCTATGACTGTAAAAAAATTGAAATAATGTTTTGTGATTGCTCAGAGGGGTCTAATTCATTGTTAATAGAAAATGTCTCGAAGTTTCTAGGCAATTTTTAAGCTGATTTCTGTCTAAAGAGCAAAAAAAAAATATTTTGATGTCGTTTGAAAAGAAAATTTGAATCGATTTATAAATTATTTATGTTTTTCTAAGTTTTTAGAATTTAAATACATGTACTTTTTATCTGATATTGTTTAGATTATGCTGTTTTTGCTAAATTTATTCGAGGATTTCATATTAAAATCAAATTAACATAACTTATTACAGTTATGTACAAAATTTTAGGGATAATCATTTTTTCAGCTTTAACCCCTTGAGTACGGGTGATTCATGAAAGCATTCGTACAAAATCAGAATCAAGATGTAAATAAGTAAAAAACGGTAGCTTAAATACAGGCGTTACTAATTTCGTTAATAATTAAGAAGATTTTGAGGCATCAAATGATGAAGTTAAAATGCTTTTATGAAATGCGATATCTTTCCATTAGATGTAAAAAACGTGGACTTTAACAAATGCATGCAAAACAGCCACCAAGAATAATGAGCAAGACAACTTATCAGCAAAATACATGCTTCGAGAGTAAGGATGCACTATTTCTTCAGAAGCATGAGAAGGTAATCTCACAAGTTATGCTGCAAATTTTTAAAGGAAAATTGACGTCAGAAAAGTTTAATCTCCCAAATATCCAATAGCCTGAGCTTTTCTCAATATTGATGAATTTATTTCAAAAAGAGCATTTGGTTAATCAAATTTTGGCCCTGAAGCAGATACAACTAACATTGATAATGAAAGTATCTTGAAAACTGATTTTGATATAAGTCCTCTTGAGGCATTGTTAGTTGCAAAAACAATTGGTTCCATAAGTAAATGGTAAGTACTGCTGAAGACCCACCAGATATAAGTCAATGAGAGATGGATTTTACTCAAACTTCGAAACTCCTTTTTCTCATTTATTATCCAGTGAGGAATTCCAGAAATGGTACGGGAAAATCAAAAGAAATTTCGAAGATAAATTTACATTGGCTAAAAATTTGGAAAAAAGAGGAAGGTTAAATCAAAAGAAAAAAATTACTTGTTTGCATTAACTTCAGAAAAAGAACGAAAATTTAAAGAGATTGAAAGAGCTGAAAAAAAGTTAAAGCAGAAAATATGACGAAGAGAAAAAATATACTTAGAAAGATTACGAAATAGTTTAAAAAAATATGGGGAAAAGAGTAAACAAAAAAGTGATCGAATTATAATAATAATAAAAACATCATCGGATTACGCAATGATAAACATTCATAATTTAGCTGTGAGAAAAAAATGAAAAACCTTTTTTTTTTTAATTATGTATTCAAACTTATTTTACTTTCCATTCCATGACTGAAAAAAAGTAACATTTTCCACGTTAACTGTGGTTATATGTTGTAATTCCAAGAAAAATCGTGTTTTCAGACATTTGTGTGGCCTCTGGATTCCTAACGAGCATCAAACTTTCTCTGAATTAAGTGTTCATTCACTGGAAAATTTAGTGTTTATTCAATGGTAAGAACTGTTCCTTCACTTGCTTATCTTACTACTTATTATTTAAACCACCAAAAGCTTAAAACAATATTATGTTAGTTATCTAAATTCTTTTTACATAATTGTATTTAATATCAAATATGTCGGCACCATCATTTAGCTAAAATTAAAAATTTTGAAATTTTTATGATTTTTTCTTAAAGGCAAGCTAAGCTTAAGTGTTCCTTCGTTCGTTAATTTACCCTATAAGATGTTGAGAAATTTGCGATGCTGTGAGAGATGCTTAAAAATGTTGACTACGTATTTATATTAATATTTATAAATATATATTCAAGAAATTGATAAATATATTATTCCAAATCTATGCATACATATATATATTATTGAAATTGTATCAGTAATTGAAAAACAAAATAAAAAAATAAAAAATAATCACATTAAATAAGCACAATCTGGTGTATAATCATATTCTATCAGAAGATCATATCATATCCTATTTTATAAAACTAGACATTCCTTAAATAAAGTGTTTTTTATTCAAAATGTTTTATTCAAATTTCCTTACTAAATTCAAGATCGCAACGCTCGAGTACGCCCTCCAGCGGGGATATCTTTCAAACACAGAACACGCCGAACATTTGAAAAAAAATTTCTCAATAATTTTTAACTCCTATTGTCAATAAACTTGCAACTCATAACTTCCGATTTCGCTATCGCATACTGTTACAGATGTGTGTATTAAGGTAAAATAAATTTTCTTGTCTTCAATTAATTACGAATTAAAGTGAAGCTTTCGTCATTGCTTTCGTCATTCCAGTGAATAAATATGAATTCAGAACATACAGAATTGTAATAGTTATAGAATATTCTTCTTCGTTATAGAATAGTATATATTTCTGTATCCATATAATTCGGAAAAC